GCATGGCAAGCTGAAGAGAATCAATAAGTAAAAAGATGACAAGAAATGTCTAAGTCAGATTCTTCCTCCCACCAGCCTGTCTGCTCTAATAATAGCCCGGAGAAAAAACAGAAAAGCAGACGAGGAAAAACAAAGTGAGGGGGAGAAAATGCCAAATAATGTATGCGAGGCCGAATTAGGCCAATATCCATTACCCGAAAATGGCCCAGAACTATATGCGGAGAGGCTAGGAACTGCCGTACCAAGCCAACCGCAACCCCCGCCCTCTTGCTCCCACAAACCCATGCCACCCTGAGGGGCGGGGAGTGTTACCCTAGGGCTCGGAGCCCACTAAACGGTGGGAGCACAGGCCCAGCGCGCCCATCTCTCACTGCTCTAATCCAATCAGACTCAGCAGCTCTGACTCTCTCCTAAAAGCACAGCAAAATCACATCAGCCTCTCAAACGCAAAAAAAAAACACTTCGCTACATGAAAGCCGCTGTGTCGTTTGTAATGCATGAACGTTAGTAGGTTATATGTGGTAAATGAAAATGAGGTTGTAGACATAATGAAGGGAGATGGTGGACATGCAAAGAATTCTTTATTAATTATGAGTGTTTATTATAACCGCCTAATCTTGTAAGCATTCTTATCACACCTCATCATGAATGTGCTAAAGTGCTAAAGAGAAAGCCAACAAACATGTCCAAATCCCATTTTCGTTTTGCAAATTGTTGCTTGTAAACTGGAAACCAGCTGCACTTAATGTAATTTATTATATTAAATTTCACAGAAAAGCATCACAGAACACTGAATGCGCCTCAAAGTGTGACATGAATTATGACTATATTTATAGTGACTCCAAAAGTCTGAGGTAATGCTAGTGAAAATCATTCCTTGCTTAGATAGATAGATAGATAGATTTTAACTATTTTTAAGCCACTTTTTGATAAAATGTGTGAATAATATGTGTGACAATGTACTTGTACATGAATTTCAGAATTTCTCAGTATGCATAAACATGAATGTAAATGTGAAAAAGTTTTATTGAGTCTTTCCTGTTTATGCTTTATTGGCAGCAGCACTCGAGCTGCATGAACTTCGTCAGTTTGTGTCAAACCTGATCATGTTCTCCAGCATGATTTGAGATGATCCAAAGAGCATCCTGAGCTTCAATGGAAAAAGAACATCTGACCTGATCTGTCTGTACAAGAAGTTCACACGATGAACATCACAAATCTAGAAATAGAATCTGAAATATTTCCTATCCATTTTACATTATATAAGATTTCTTTGTGTTATATTCATCAAAATCTTAAAGCTTTGATTTGATCAGTTTAAATAAAAAAAAAACACCTCAGATTTTCAAGTGGTCTCATACTTTTGGACCCCACTGTACATATTTAAGATGCACTTTGACTAGTGCGATTTACAGCTTGCACATATTGTTGTAGGTGTCACCAAGTTACATATAAACTCAACAGCATTCTATGAGGACCCTTCATGAGATACTGTCATAACAAATGCCAAACAGCGTATTGACTATGATTATATGAGCCGTCACGCTCAGCATAGCTGGGTAATGAGATTCATCTTCATTATATGTTCTTACATCCTGAGCTACTGCTTTCAGTACGTGAGCAGAGGTCCAAATTATGCTGAAATGTTGTACTCAAGTCGAGTTACTATTAATTCATAAGACGTCTGTAAAAGAGGCAGAAATAATATTGAAGCACTGGAATAAATATTTGAGAATATTCAAGAGTATTCTACAGTGGCCATGATACTGATGATATTGAAATGAAACAGAAACCATTAAACTGGTTTCAGAACAGTGCATGGTGAAGGATATTAGTTTTTCATTTCCATTTTACACATTTGCCTGATATTTTCATCTATAGTGACCTGTCATGCATACATGGTATTCATTCAACTATAGGAATTTAGTTATTATTGTGAGTTAAAATCCCTAGCTCAAGAAGTACAGCATGGTGCAAACAATATTAATATATTACATATAATTACTTAATAATTTATAGTATATATTAGTATTAACTCACTAACTATAAATTTTTATATTGGGTAAAAGAATACATTCATTTAATTTAAAGGATTATATATGTATTTATTATACATTATAGTTAATGTCCCTAGCTCAAGTAGTATAGCATGGTGATAACAATATTAATATATTACATATTATTACATTTTTATATTTATTTATTTTCATTTGCATTATCATGGTTAAATTAATACAGGTTTATTTATTTTGTGTGTTAATATCCCTAATTCAGCTATTGTACAGCATAATGATAACAATATTAATGCAATATATTTATTACATTTTTACATAGTTTTTTTTATTTTATTTTAATTCACACCTTTTGAAGTAGTAGCATAATGTTTCACATTTTATTTAAATTAAATCATATACAAATATTTCAATTAAAAATATAGATCCAGAAAGCGAATACTAAAATGTTTTACAGTATAACGTACAATATACAGTATAATGTTGTACACGTATATTTTCATTTGCATATGGTAATGAAGACATTTTAAGGTAAGGAATAACATTACAAGCTTTATAGAAGCTATTTTAAATTACTGCCAATTGAAAATATTAATCCAGGAAAAATCTACTTTAGCACAGACATTTGAGCCATGCTAATCCGTTACCTCAGACCATAATAAGGGGAATAACACTAGCTGCAGCAATGGAACACATCTGTTTCACACAATCATAATCTCCTGCACTAGTGCTAAGTAGATTCAGTGCGATCATAACATGCTTTCTTCCCATAAATGTAAATCCACAATTTGCAAATGTTAAACAGACATTTTTGAGTTATTAGATAAAAAAAACAAGTGCATAGTTGCCCGTTTCATCCACCAGCGATCTCCACAACAGCCACGTTTGGATGGCCATAAAAAAGTGACTAAGATCAATGATCATTGAAAGAGCAATAGAGAGCCTTAGAGTCTCTTATGCTGTAATGCCATGAGGGACAAAAGCGCCAGTCTCTTAATCGGCTCTTCTGGAGGAGGTCCTGAACATTAAAAATCATCAGTGAAATTACTGAAAGAGTTTCAAGCAACTGCCATGCTTGATCCTCTGAATCAGGGTAGTGAGTAGGTGCTTCAGATGATGCCCTCTTACCCACGGGCTGGACTCAGCTGCCCTGCTGCCAGCAAAGACCCCTAATGAGCCTCTGCAATTAAGCCGGTTTATTCAAGCTAAGTGTGAACGGGGTGCATGTGGAACCGTAGGCAGCTAACAGACCTGGGCTCTTTGTGCCACAAGTGCTGCTTTCATTCAGCTCACAAAGCAGAAAACAACACCCGCACCTTTAATGGCGAAGACTTTCCCCCTCACTCGGTCGCGACTTGACAGAGTGGGTGGGGTTAAGACAGAGTGGCAGCGGGGCCCATCTCTATTCTCTTATTAACGCTTAACGAGTGCCTTCCTCATGCAATATTCATCGCCACTAATATCATCCAAGCTCTGAGCTGAGCTGGCTACTTATGTAAGGCAATTATGTAAAATATCAGACAGGGCCCACACTCAGAATCTGACTGGGGTAGAGATGCGGGACAAGAACCGAGAGGAGGAAGAACTGAAAGTGAAAGAGAGCTTGACAGAGGAGGACGAAGGGCAGGATGTTTCGCAGCCAGGGTTATTATACTAAAACTAAAACCATTATGTTACTTGAAATAAAACAAACTTGAACTGAAATAGAATATAGAAAACTTGTTTTGTTTCAGCTAGTTGCCAAGGCAACATTTCTCATTTTCATTTAGTTTAACGTGATGTACTAAAATAACTAAGACTAAAACATACAAATAAAATGAATAAAAACTATATATAAATGACAAAAACACACAACAAAATTACTAAATCTCTGAAGAAATATTCCACACAAAATTTTAAAACTTGTCATCTTTTACTCACCCTCATGTCATTTCAAACCTGTATGACTTTCTTTCTTCTATGAAACACAAAAGAAGATATTTTTTAAAAAGTGTCAGTAACCAAACAGTTTTGGTTCCCATTGACTTCCATAGTATTTTTATTTCTATACAGTGGGACCCGAAACCATTTGTTTACCAACATTTACTAAAACAACTGTTATGTTCCACAGAAAGAAAGTCAGTCATACAGGATTCAAATGACATAATGAATGGCAGAATGATCATTTTTGGAAGGATTATTGCTTTGGCTAAAAATAAAATGCAAACAGAAAATATACAAATAAAAACAAGTTCAAAATCTTAATAAATGATACTAAAATAACACTGGTTGCAGTCACATTGCCATCCATTCCAGAGCACCCGATTGAGTCAAGATTACCAGAGAATGCTTGGCCTTCACTGTTAACCCGTAACCCAGAAATGCACAACAATCGGCGCTCTCGAAATGATCAAAAGGTTAACGAGTTTGAACGCATCTGCCCACTCGCCCATCTCCAATGATCTCCCAAGAACTCATCAGCCAAAATATATATAATTGTGTATATTACTCAGAGTAGACACATCGAGAAAATGCTGTTTTTCTGATCTGCATTATAGTGCATTTGCCCGCCAACGACAATACCACCCACTCTGTACCTCTCTGACTCCTGATGCCTGATACCTGTGCTGTGACTGTCTACAATCTGCATAATCACAGAGAACTTCTGCTGAAGACGCGCGCACACACAGCGCTCCACTTCCACAAGGTCACCCAAGGCCGATGCGGATGTATGTGAGTTCCAGTGACCTGTGGTCTCCAGCGCGCACATAAACAGACTAAAATAAACACATCCTCTTGTGGGAATGACATCCCCCTCACACCTCATCAGCTAAAGCGTACATTTCCATAAGCCTACATGCTCTGCAACCATCTCCTCCAACTTCACCCATTGGAGACTCGCACCTATGAAAGTGCCAACGACATAACAGAGATACACCGAGCGCGCTCCCTCAGGTCAAGGCCCTGTGGGGGTCTGTGCAGCCCTCCCTGCACAATTAGCCAATCAGCAGCAAGCTCTGCCAGCCAGAAGGACACATAAAAGAAGAACATTGCAGCAGAGGCACAGAAGGAGCCTGCGAGGAGCTGGGAAATACACAACAGCAGAACCACAACACCCTCCCCTGGACACACCCTACTGGGGATCACTGCTTCTCTTTTTTTCTGAACCATCGCCCACAACACACGGAGAGAAATCTCTCTCTCATCATCGTCCTGAAGAAAACCCCCTTCTCCTCATTTTCACACTGCTGAGGAAACCTACAATCGCACGGGCTGAGCTTTCCTGCCGAAGACTGTCGTTTTTCCTTTTTCTTTTTTTTTCTTTTCGTTTGGAAACTGACATTTGTGATTCTCGAGCCACGCCACGGCGTAATATCTGCAAGACGGCCTGAAGACCTGCGAATTGAAGGACCTAGATCACTATCATCTTTGTACATCAAGAATGGTTACTGTAAGTATACCCTTTTTCGGTCTGTCTCATGAAAAACAATTAACAGCATCACCACAAAATCAATTTTAACACCCTCAAAACAGACAGCAAATATATAACATTCATCTTAAAATATAGGGTATTTAAATACAAGCTAGACAAAACATACACACAGCATTTGGTCAAACATACTGGCACATCTAATTCCGTAAACAAGATTAACGATTAGCCCAGGGTATAAGTAATGTGATACAGGCATGCATGAGCATCGCTACAGATGAGCTCGCTTGGCTCAAAACAGAATCAAAACAATGCTTTCTCCTGCCGTACGAGCCATTCGTCATAAATCGCAATACGTAATACGTAAAACCCTTCGCAACATACATTTATTTCTACATCCGCTAATTAAACGCATTCAAGCGATAATTAGCCATTGTTAACAAATAGCGCTGAGGAATTCCTCAGAAATAGCTGAGGTGCGGCGGAGGCAGAAGGGCGTAAGAAGGCACATGCCTCGCTCGGAAAGGATGCTCGAGACTGAATCTCGGAGACAAAACACGATGCCTCGGAGGCTGAGAGTCCATCGAGAGCAAAGGCAAAGAAAAGGGTCGAGTCACATTATGCACCCGTTGGTTTGGATTGAATCAGGCAGGACGAAATTCCTAAGGCTTGGGATGCTATATAAGAGACCGCGAGAGAGGAAAAGGCGAGATGTCATGTGATGTATGGGAAAGACTAAATATCACACATTTCTAGCGATATCTTAGCGAGTTGCGCTTTTTCCTTTTCCTCTCCAAAAATATAAACACACCGAGAGTGTAAATAAGCAATAGGAGGGGAATACAAAGGCCTTGAGGGAAAGCGTTTTGGGCGTGTCTTCTCTAAAAGAAGACAGCGATGCTGGCACTCGCACAGAATCACCATCTCCACGTACAATTTTCTGTGTGAAAACATTTACAGAACAGCTTATTTGAATACAAACAGGTATTTGAAACGGACCCACGGGTGACTGTTTAAAATGTTAAGATTAAATAATGACGTTAAATTCTTCAGGCCTGCTCTACATGACGCGTAGTATTGTCAGGATGACCGTCTTTGTTTCTTGTCCGAAAGAGGTGATAATACTAAACGCTGGATTCGTTATAATGGCGACTCGTTTAGTAATAATTAATTTTAACACTCTTTGAAAATTACACTAAACCTTTGGCAGCCACACGACATTTTGCGTTTGAGGTTAGAGCCCTCTGGTCCTGACAAATATATTTATTTATTCGTCTGCTGTGAAGGACAACCTGCCTTGTTTTAGACTGACCTCAAACAAAAGGCGATACGAAACGACGCGCTTCTCTTTCATTTTAAGTCTCAATCGATGGTGTGATGATGAATGAATGACGGGCCCTTCCTTCGGCGTGTTGTTCCGCAGTCCTCCGTGAGCACGAGCCTCTACCGCAGTGCCAAGCTCATAAAACCGTTGAGTCAGATAACCTTCTCCAGGCGCGAATACGCAATTCAAGGACAAGGACATCACAACGATACACAGCACAACACAACCGTCTGAACACACGAGCTCGTCGTTAATTGTTAATAAAGAGGTTTGTCAATTAAAGAATAAGACGGCGTTAAAAAAAAAAAAAAAAAACGTTTGACAGTAACTTTGTATACGGTCAGGCCGTTGCGCACGTTATAGGATCACCAGGCCTCGTCTATTGTGAATTTAAACGGTGATTATTTTGAACAGGTGCAGTACAGAAACTAATTTTACAGCTAATAATAATCAAATTATAACTGCTAAATATTACGACCAGGCCATTTAAATATGGATTTCGGTTAAGAAAAATAAACTGTCAACTACCTAGAACGGAATATTATACAGTTGTTAGATATGCAGTTGTTATATAATTAGCTAGAGGCATTTCTTCGATGACATTATTTAAATGTACATTTTTTATTATGTTTGCTATTATTGTTATTATTATTATTTTTAAATGGTCTTGTAGAATAGAGTAAAAGTGAAGACAGTTGCAATGTTCATTGTTCCCGGAGAGTCCCGCAGCCTCTGGCCTCGACACAAAGCGCTACTGTTTACATTAATATTCATAGTGCTGCCATGGTCTCTGTAGAGGAGGAACGGGTGGCTCTTTTGTTCGCTCGTGTCAATACGTTTATTCAGCAAAAAGGAGCTCGGATTTGTGAATGCCCACAGAGCACACGCGCACTTGTCCAATCAAAGGACGAGAGGATAACGAGTTCAAACGATTCGTAAACGTGTTTAATTATGAAGACAACATCAAGACCTTAATGCCCACTTGATAAAACGGAGCCCGCGGTACCAAGGATATTTTGTAGGTAGTTGTGCATGTTGAGCCACTCCCGAATTCAGCACTCTGGATAGCGACCGAACAGGAATACCGGAATAGCCTACTGCTGGCGCCTTTTTTTCTCCCGTTAAACGTTTCTGGCGTTCTTGCAGACTTATAATAATTTACATAAAATGGCAAAAAATAAATAAATAAATACTTTTTAAATAAAATAACGCTATTTGGGGAAATACAAGAGAGACTTGTTGTATTCGCGTGATAAATCAATGATCTTTCGCGCTGCAGATTTTTCACGAGTGAAATTAACCCAATTCACCGACAAAAATAAACAACAAAGAAAAGGGTTTATCCGTTCAGTTTTGACTTGTGTCCTGTTGTTTTACAGCTGCCACTGTGATCTCTTAAACTGCAGTGAGAGTGTGGCTAATGCCTTTTGTTCAGGATAATCCTGTAATCTGTTACTGAAACAGCCTATTGGCAATCCCAACATTCCCTTTTCAGTCAGGAGGCCCGTCCAGACACGTACGTTGATGAATTACAAATGATAAAATTAAAGTCTGCATTAGGCGTCAGAAATGTCACGAGCACAGATTCATTTTCCAACGTTAACAGATAATGCTGGGAATCGCTACAATGGCAGTCTGCAAATCAATGTTGACATGTTACATACAGCTACAGATTAGATCAGCCTTATGCTTTATTTGTTTACCTCGCCGGATCTTGAGCGAGACTGTGTTTATTTTAAGAAAATGGCTCCCTCACTGCACAGGGACATTAAGGAAGTGACGTGAGCCGATAGTCTTCACAGTCTGATTGCTTTTGATCTCATGCTGCTTTCAGGCCTGTTTTTTAAAAAGCATTATCTGGCATGATGCGTTTAACATAGTAAATGTATTTTAATTTATTGTAATATTTTAAAGTCATCTACATTTTTATTGAAGTCAGTCTCATCAAGAAAAAAAAATGACGGCAGCTATACCATGTGGCTTTTCTATAATACAGCTATGTTTTTACTTACATTTGTATATTGTGACATTCAACAGGACAATTTTCTAAAAAAACAAACAAACAAACAAAAAGTCTGACAATGCTTGACGGTCATTTCTGCAGACTCTAATTACAGACTCACTAAGAGGAATCTTTGCAGTCATTTATCCTTATCAGCGAGCTGGTGGGAAGGTAATAGGTTTTGCGTATGAGATGCAGGGCTCTTGTTTGCGTGTGAGTCTGGACCCTTGTGTAGGCGGTGCTGATGCAGTGCATTAAATATTAAGGGAGAACTCTCCTAGAAATAGAAAAGTACAGGCTGGGACGGGAATGTCAAATCGGCCTCTGTGGCCACATTTTGTTTCGTAAGGCCTATTTTTAATAGCGTACATTCAGGGACAGTTGATAAGGTGTGTGATGTTTAAGCAGTGCAGTGGAAGGAACTCCAGCAGTAAGCAGTCTCTCGTCTGTCTCTGTGAGTCATGTATTTTGGGATGAAGTGCTCTTCCACATCTACCTCTGCTGTGCTGGTGCCAGTATCTGGGCTGTAAGATAGTGTACGTGTCAGTCTGTGTGGCCGAAGAGCCTGTGCGTTGTGTAACTCACTACATTCATCGCTGAGGATGGGTGGCTTGCCATAGGGAGGTTTACTTCAGTTCACGAATCACATTTGCCCTGATCCTGTCACTTTGTGTCAAGACTCACTCTGTTTGTGTTAACGCGTAGACAGTGCTTGTTTGAGTAGGTTTGAGTATGATATTTCCCAGGCTATACAGGCTATGGGCTACTGCCCAAGCAAAAGATGCCATTTTATTGCCATTTGTGATCAAACAAACACTCTTTTCTTGGAAATTCCTGCTCGGGTGACAGTGAAATTGTCAGTTTTGCCTAGATCCATGTTTGCAGTGCTTTAATAACTCAGCTCTCTGAGCTTTCTCCTTGTCAGTGTCAATTTGCCTGAGATATAAATTCTGGCTGCCCCGAAAGCTTATTTTATTAATGCAAGACAAAAAGTGATTTTAACCGAGTGCTCGAACATGCACACATACATGCGAGGTTTGCTAAAAGTCAAGAAGCCAGCCAATAGCAACAGTCGTCAAGCTGCTGTTACCTGGGCAACCTGGTTAGAGGTAGGGCTCAAGGCAAGAATAAATCATTCCACTGAAGAGACAGAGCATTACAGAGAGATGAGAGTAAGAGGCAATACTGAAGGGAGAACAAAGGATCAGACTTCCCACACTACTATAAATTCTCCTGTGCAACTGAACGTAAATTTTTTAATAAAGTGCTTAATTAGATATCAGATACAATTTCAAGTATTTCCAATTACATTCCTGGAAGGATCATAAAAACAAAGCGAGATTGTAGCATATCATTCTGCCTGTTGATCGTGGGACTCCAACAAAAAGATCACGGATGCATTGTTAATTAAGTTGGTGAGACACCCTGTTCCACCCCAGGGGCCGTTCTGGGGAAAGAGTGCTTTCAGTCAAATAAGGATGACTAATACATGAACATACATTACATACGCCAATTTGTAAATTCTGGAGAGTAGCAGCCTTGGGAAAAATACAAAGAAAAAAAAAATTACAAAAGAGATAAAAAATGACAGATCGCTTATGGTACGGTGCAGAGCACTGGCTTTGAGAACTTCAGTCGTGCGTTGTGACAGAAAGGGACCGTTAAAGACTGAAGTAGCGTCTACAACCTGCATACATCTGCTCTTTGAAAATCCCCTATAGGCCAAATTAAGCATCATGCTGTGCTCCACAGCAACACGGATGATCCGAAGACCCAGACACACGCGCACACTCACGCTTTTCACATAAACAAGGTGCCAACGCCATCTTCTGATCTTTATTTGTCTGAACTGCATTTTCTTAAAAGGAAATTTTAACAAATTAGTGTTAGCATTTACGTGTACTTTCATGCCCATCCTCTTGGAGGCTTGTGATGTAACGCTGTTTGACCCTGGATAGCATAAAGGGAGCTGGGAAAGAGTGAAAGGACTGTGACATCTGCAGGGCCAGGGGCTGATGGAGCGAGTTGAAGTGAGGGAGGAGGTCAGAGGAGGAGGGGAGGTGGGATATTGTTCTCCTCCGGCCCTCTACCACTCAGACGCATTGATTTTTAACCTCTCATCCAGGATGCCAAGCATTACGCCCCTCAAATTATGCGTTTTCATCCAAACTACACCATCTTAGAGTGTAATTTGTCATTTTTCCACCTGCAGATAATTAGCACCATGGAAACTCAGGTGTCCAATGGTCCGAGCGGAACCAGCCTGCCGAACGGCCCTGTCATTAGCACTAATGGCGCCACAGACGACAGCAAAACCAACCTGATCGTCAACTACCTGCCTCAAAACATGACCCAGGAGGAGTTCAAGAGCCTTTTCGGCAGTATCGGAGAAATCGAGTCCTGCAAATTAGTCAGAGACAAGATTACAGGTAACCATGCGATTTTGTCTTGATTCGGTAACGAATATTAGCATTAAAGCACCCTTTTCCAATGCGTTCTCGTTCGTATTATTGCAGGCCAGAGTTTGGGCTATGGCTTCGTAAACTACGTGGATCCTAACGATGCCGACAAGGCCATCAACACGCTCAACGGTCTCAAACTGCAGACCAAAACAATCAAGGTAAGAGAAGCTCATGAAGCCCACGCTCTTCAATCACTCGATGGGGAGGAAGTAGAGAAATAAAGCAGAGCCCAAAACAGACGTGACAGCAGGAGGGGAGGAGAATGGGAGGGACAGGGGAGGAATTGGTGTTGGGGACAAAAGGTGCAAAAGAAAAGAGAAAGTGGAGGTCAGAAAGCAAAGGGTTGTGCACAGAGGTGATTGTGATGGAAATGTAATTAGGGAGACGCAATATGAGGCTTGGAGGTCAACACGGAGAGCCCCATCTGCCTTCAATCTTGGCTAATTAGGGCCTTCTTTGTCCCCAATTCAGCTGGGTTTTGAGGTGGGGAAAGGTCTGCCTGGGCTTCTGAAAGCGAGAGATTAAACAGTCGGTCTGCTCCTCCACCTGATCACCACACATCAAAGCCAAGGCAAGAATCAGCAGTTAAGCAGCTTCAGCAGACTTAGCGTAGGTTTGCATGTGCTTATATTGGGGATATGTATGTAAATCATATGATAGGCCAAGATGACCATGATTCATATCAGAGCAGTTTCATTCCCTAGTCTAATTTGAAACCGTAACACAGTTATTTGGTGAATAATGACTGCAGTCCATGGGCGAACATTATTGGCATAGTTATTTTAACAACACGGAGTCCGACTGTTATTGTCCTAATCGTCTTGTTTGTTCAGTGCATTCATCCAGCTTTGCCACTGTTCTCTGACATTCAACGTTCGTGTGCCCACTGCCCTCAAATCCTTAAGCTGGGCAAATGTCATATTTTCCATGTCAATAGAGCATTGTTATAAAGGTAGAGAGCCGATAGCAAGGATGGAAGGGAGGGCATGAGCGAGGGAGGGAGACGGGGCGCAGGAGCAAAGGCTAGGAAGGAGCCGAATGCCAATGACAGGATTAGGGGCCATATGGGCTGCAGGCACCATCTGTACTGTGGGAGAGACCGGGAGAGGGTTAATTATGGGGCAGCAGCCCATCCCTCCAATACATCTCCCCCCTCTAGTCTCTGCTGTACACTCACCCACTCACTGCACAATTACACCCCTACCTCAACAATACTGCTGCTTAGTCATACTGGCCTGCAAGACGCAAACACACATATGGTGGAAAAACACATAATTCTGCCAAGGTCTCATGGCGAAACATGCAATAACTTGGTTGGGCGTCGTAAAATGGCTTGAACACATTTAAAATAGACTATTGTTTATGATAAAAACAAGTTTACTTGCTTAACTTTTTTTTTTTTTTTTGCTGTAATCGCTTACATAAAGGTCATCAGATTCAAATCTTTTTTGCTGTAATCGCTTACATAAAGGTCATCAGATTCAAATATGCCAATATGTGTTGAAAAAAATGAAATGAAATGCTTTGTTATAGAGCCCATTATTGAATAAAAAGGTTACAGACAGAAATAAATTCTTTCTTCTCTATTTATAATTTATTTAAATTATATATATATATGTAAAAACTAGTAAAAAAGAGTATTGGTAAAAAGAGTATAAGGCTATATGGTGCTATAAATGTTTAGAAAAATGATAAAAAGTATGTATTGTATTATATATGCAATATAACGTTAATTACATTATATATTAAAACAATATATTAGTAAATAAGTAAAAAAAAGGACATTGGTAAAAAGACTAAAACTATATGGCAATACAAAAAAAATACAATATATATTATATTACATTATTAGTAATTAGTATTGGGGAAAAGGGTATAAGTCACTATAAATGTTAAGAAAAACAACAAAAAGTACATTATATTATATTATTATGTATATAAAGTTGATTCAATTATATATACATAAAAAGTATATTTGTGAATAAGTAATTTTTTTTTTAAAGACTAAGATTACATGGCAATATAATTTGTTTGAAAAATATATAAATATATATTATATATGCAATTTAAAGGTAAATCAATTATAGATCACAAATAAAAAATAAATTAAATAATACAAATTTAAGTTCTAGATAAAACATGCCCATGTATAAATGAGAAGTATTAATTGTATGTGTAATACTGTTGAACAGAAACAATCATACTAGAATATTCCAGGGTTTTCAGAAAGTGAGTGTGTCACATTTCCATTAGCATGAATTGGTATTGTGCTTTTTATTTGATTTGCTTTGTTTGGTTTTTTTTTCATGGGGTATTTTGTGAGGACATGTGTTGGGGAGTTGTCAGGGACGCTGGACATCTTGTAATCTGTTTACTTGATTCGCTGGTTGCCAGAGGAGCAGTTTCCCCTTGAGAGAGAACACAAAAGAGAGATGGAAGAGAAGGAGGGGCCAATCTCTTTTTCTCAAAAAACCACATGAGCACAAACTGACACCATCAATCAAAGTCAGCCCCTTTCAACCAGAAACTCATAAATATACATATTTTATGAGAAAAATCTGTTCGCATCTCAAATACAACCAAGACATCTTGGTGGGGGATTTTTAGGAAATATAGAAGGGAATATAAAAATGAGATGAATATTTGAACGTCAAAACAAATGCCTAATTGGACTTGATATTACATGACACGTCCCAAAGCGGAACAGGTTCTAAATACTGCTGTCTTGTGGAAAATCACCGGCTAGAATAACAGCCCATGATAACAAATTTTCCTCATGACTCCCTGAGGGTGTGTCACATTTCCATTAGCATGAATTGGTATTGTGCTTTTTATTTGATTTGCTTTGTTTGGTTTTTTTTTCATGGGGTATTTTGTGAGGACATGTGTTGGGGAGTTGTCAGGGACGCTGGACATCTTGTAATCTGTTTACTTGATTCGCTGGTTGCCAGAGGAGCAGTTTCCCCTTGAGAGAGAACACAAAAGAGAGATGGAAGAGAAGGAGGGGCCAATCTCTTTTTCTCAAAAAACCACATGAGCACAAACTGACACCATCAATCAAAGTCAGCCCCTTTCAACCAGAAACTCATAAATATACATATTTTATGAGAAAAATCTGTTCGCATCTCAAATACGACCAAGGCGGCTCAGTGGGGGAGTTTTAGGAAATATAGAAGGGAATATAAAAATGAGATGAATATTTGAACGTCAAAACAAATGCCTAATTGGACTTGATATTACATGACACGTCCCAAAGCGGAACAGGTTCTAAATGCTGCTGTCTTGTGGAAAATCACCCGCTAGAATAACAGCCCATGATATCAAATTTTCCTCACGACTCCCTGAGGGAGCTGGTCTCAAATCAGCGCAGGGGGTGTCGATGCGTATGGGGGGGAAGTGTGAATGTGAGAGTGGGTTCGTGTTTCTGCTGTCAGGAGCACAGTGAAGCTGACGTAGCGTTTAATAAGAGAACCGGGTTTGGTTCGAGTGAAGTGCACGTAAGAGACGTGGATTTCAAGGAAGGAGGGATGAGAGAGAGTGGGCGGATGTCTCGCCTTTGAGTGTGGCAGTGCTGTGACATATCTGCTTCGACTACACTTGAAAGTTTGCACTGCTGGGAGTTTTAGGACTGTCACAGCTGTCTTGATGCATGCTTCTTAATATTTCTATTAAAAGAAATCCTAAACTGCAGCTCGTTGTTTTGTGTGTGTGTGTGCGCGATGTAGGTGTCCTATGCCAGACCAAGCTCAGCTTCTATACGCGATGCCAACCTGTACGTGAGCGGGCTGCCCAAAACCATGAGTCAGAAAGACATGGAGCAGTTGTTTTCCCAGTATGGAAGAATCATCACCTCACGCATCCTGGTAGACCAGGTCACAGGTAAACGTTACCTCACTTCCACAAACAGTGTAGGCACCCTGGGGGAGGATTAAAAATCTAATTAAAGCTCTGGATGTGACGCAAAATAGCAACAAAAAAAAAGCAATATGCTTCACAGTCAACATGAAACCAAAATGGACCCCCCCCCCCCGCCGTTTTTTT